TACGACTACTACGAAAACTACTAACCACTACTGAAACTACTAACACTACTAACACTACAGCTAATACTAATACTCTCAACCACTTCTACTACTACTTCTCCTTCTTCCACAACCACTAACTAACTAACTACTACTACTAACTACTACTACTGCTGTTGCTACAGCTACTACACTATTACTACTACTACAACTACTACTACCACTACACTAACACTACTACTACTACTTAACTACTAACTACTAAACTACTACTACTAACTACTACGACTACTAACGATACGAACTACTACTACTACTACTCACTACTGACTACGGCTACTACTACTACTACTACATACTAACTACTACACTATCTACAACTACTACTACTACAAGTAACTACATACTACTACTAACTACTACTGAAAACTACTACTACGACGACTGCCACTACTACTGCTACTACTACTACTACGACTACTACTACTACTACTACTACTCCTACTCCTACAACTACTACTACTACTACTACTACTACTACTACTACTACGCTACTACTACTGCTACTACTACTACTACTACTACTACTACTACTACTACTTCTTCTAGTCCTACAAGTACTACCACTACCACTACCACTACCACTACCACTACCACTACCATTACCACTATCATTGCCAGTACCATGACCAGTACCAGTACTACAACGCGCGAGCACACCGAGATCTGACATTCCCCGAGGTTTTTTCGGAAACCGGATGGTCAGACGTAAGCCAACCAGTAAACTTTCGGAGATTTTGCGGCCCGACCCCGCTCGAAACATTCGCAAAGGAAGCGCCGCAGGAATCGGACATTCGCCGGTGCTACCAGGAGGTCGAACGGGCCGGGCGGGCAGGACACCAAATCCTCCTCCTCCTCCTCCTCCTCCTCCTCCTCCTCCTCCTCCTCCTCCCCATCCTCCCCTCCTCCCTCCTCCTCCTCCTCCTCCTCCTCCTCCTCCTTCTCCTCCTCCTCCCCTGTTCCTCCTCTTCCTCTTCCTCCTCCGCCTCCTCCTCCTCCTCCTCCTCCTCCTCCTCCTCCTCTCCTCGTCTCCTCCTCCTCCTTCTCCTTTTCTTTTTTTTCCTTCTCCTTGTTCTCCTTTTCCTTCTCCTTTTCCTTTTCCTTTTCCTTGTCATTATTTTCCTCCTTCTCCTTCTTTTCCTCCTCTTCGCGTTCTCTCGCCCAGTGCCGTTCCCACCCCTGAACCACCGCCCACTCCTGCTGCTGTTCCTCCTCCTCCTCCTCCTCCTCCTCCTCCTCCTCCTCCTCCTCCTCCTCCTCCTCCTCCTCCGCCTCCTCCTTTGGACTTGGAATCAGGATGATGTGCACGAAGCGCCACCCGCCAGGAAAAGGAACACGAGAAGGGACAAGGGCAGGGCAAGCGAAGGAGAGCACGCGGAGCATGCGGTGATCCCGGGAGCCTGCCAGGGCAGGGACGGGGTCCCGGCACCCAGATGGGGCAGGGCGGGCCGAGGCCTCGCACCATGTTGCCTCGGGCCCGCTAGGGCCCTGGGCCAGAGAGTTCGCGAGCAAAGTCATTGCCCATGGCTCGCGCAACGAAGGGGACGAGGGGCTCCCAGAAGGCCAAGAAGTCTGGCTCGACCTCCTCCGAAGGGGCACCCGGGACCAGAGGCCAACCCCCCAGGGAAGCCTGAAGGAAAACAGAGGCAGTAGTACGGTATATGCCCTGGGGGTGCACCTTAGCCCTATAGGCGCGCCACTGCCAATAGCCCACAAAGCCCGCAAGGGTCGCATGGCCACGGGGGCCGTGGGGGCACCTCCCGCCCCCCCGAGCAGCCCGCGCTCCCATGCTAAGAGACGGAAGGTGAACCGAAAGAAGGAGAGTAGGCTTCCTCGACGGCGCCCCGAAAAGGCAAAGGTCGGTGAGGACCCCCTCAACCTCGGGCCGTCCGAGGAGAGCCTCCAGCACGTCGAACATCCACGCCGAAGGGGCCCCCCGACGGGAGGGAGGAGCAGCGTGCTCCATCACAGCCGGGATTTCGAGGCGGAGGACGACGAAGAAGAAGAAGCAGAACCAAAAACGGATCGCCACAGGTCTCGAGTCCTCGCCGCAGCTGGGGTCGCAAGCAACGTCAAGGCTGAATACCCACACGGAGACAAGCGAGGACTCGGCAACCCTCTCAAACTCGTGAAGAAAACCGTAATCGCATCGGGCCCCAGCGAAAGAAAGAAGGAGGTACCTGATATGCTGCCCGACTGGCCTGGGAACTTGGCCCGCAAGGGCTCTGTCCTCAGCATCAACTCGAGCCATGGGGAACGGTTTCCACGCACGTTTATCCCTCGGGGCCAGGGCAGGAGGGCAAAACGAAACCCCAGGGACCCGAAAGGCCGGTTTAACAGCACAGTGAGCAGGTCGACCCGTTTTGCGGTTAGCTTTCCTGGCAGCGACTGTGGCTTCCTTATCCTCCTGTAGCTGCTCGGGTGTCTTGGGGGGCGCCATGGGCCGCCAGGCCTCTCTGCACCTATGATTCCGAACATCAGGATTGTCCGAGATGACGTAGACTGGGGCTCTGCTCTGGTCTTGGAGACTCCATAACAGGTCGAGAAATCCGTCTACATCTGTCCAGGCCCTCACGGGCTCGGGGGCATCGGCAGGGCTAGTGTTTGCTAAGGCGTACCTAATATGCTGATGCAGAATAATGTCGTTAAAACGATCCGTAGGCCAATGCTTGAGCGCCCTAGGATATGAGTCCAGGGTCCCTCTGACATCGAGCCAAGAGTCCAGCAGGCAACTCCTCGAAGCAACAGGGTGCGGAGCGGCAGCGACGCGGTTCTTTCGGGCCACGTCCAGCTGCGTGGCGACGATGGGGCCAGCCCCAAGCGGGTCGGGAAGGGGGGGGATCGGAAGGGCACATGCAACGGCAGTCTCCCCGTCATAATTCTGGGCCCTGTGGGGCTCCCTGTAAATCTGCGGAGGTGCCTGCTCCTCCCGCAGACGCCGCCTCAGGCCCTGTGGTTCCAGCGGCGTCGCGCCAGAACTCAAATCAAAATAGTCATGGAAATTCATCTGAGCATGCGGTGGGGGGGGCCCCTGAGTGCCGTGGGTGCTTTTCCCCGCAGCCGCGAAATTATCGATCGAATTGGTATTAGCCTCCCCATCAGCGTTAAGGTCGGCATGAACAAAGAAGTCAGCCTCTGGCAGGCTGACGGTTGCATTGTTGGCTCTACCCTGGCCCCCTGGGCCCCACGGGGCGCCAAGACGATGCGGGGTTGAGAGCTCCAGTGGGCCAGCCAAGGGCGAGGGGAACTCTTCTTGTCCCTTGAATCCCTCAAAATTCGCGGCGGGTGGCCCACTCTGCTCATTCAGATGATGGGGTAGATGTTGATCCCCTTCTTCATCGTCGTGTGCCGACTGGGCGTACGAACAGAAGAAGGTGACCTCCCACGAGACCGTTGAGAGGAAATTCAGATGTCGTCCCTCATGGTGCCTGGTGCGCATGCCGACTTCCTTGGTGGCTGCCCCAGCGGCCCCCAGTCGTGCGCGTTCTGGCCGTACGCTGGGTCGGCTGGCGATGTGGGGCTGAGACCTGCTGTCTGGTGGCGCTCGGGCGTTGTTGGTACTGGAGGCACCTGTGCTGCAACCTGGGTCTCTGGTTGGGTCTGCGATGCTAGCTGAGCCGGAGCGGAGTGGAACCCTGGCGCGTAGGCTTCCGGGAGGAATGGCGCCGTAGGTGAACACCCCGCTGCTGTGGCAAAGGCTGGGCTGCGTACCAGCGTAGGCTCCGACGGTGAAGGCATCTGGCTGGGAACCTCGACCTCCGTGGGAGATGGCACCGCTGGTGGCTGCCCTTGGGCTGCCTGCCCTGGTGGCGAGCTGGGACTCGGCACTACTGTTGGCACGGAGTGCTCGGTAGGCGAGCTGCGGTGCAGGGGAGCTCTGGGCGGAGAGGTTGGGCATGGTATTCTGGCTGCTTCCGCCTGCTCCTGGAGTTCTCGCTGCTTCTGGAAGAAAGCGCCCGTGGCGGCCTGCACAACTCTGTCCAACCCCTGCAGCTGTGAGCTTATGGTTGGCTGCGAGTCTGCTGGCGGGGTCGGTGTGACCTGCTGGGTCGGAGACGACTGCACGGTGACCGCCGCCTGGCTCGGTCCCGTTCCCCTTGCTGCCTCCAGTTGGGCGTGCAGCTCCCTGATGGTCGCTGGGTCCTTGTAGCCCCCCGTCTCTGGGGTCGGATGATCCATCCCAGCGGCCTCTGCTGCCGCAATGGCGTGGGACAGCTCGTGCTGGGATATGCGGGGGCCTGGCCCTCCAGGGAGCGGGGCTGGCGGGTGCGCTGGCCCCTGGGCTGGGGGCGGCGCTGCAAGGTTCGCCGTTGTAGGCGGTGCTCCCTTCTGATCTACTGCCATGGGGGCTACCGCCCCCTCTGGGGTCATCCCTGCTGCGCTGGCGTCCTTGCCTTTCCCTTTCGCCGCCATGTAGGCTTGGCCCATGGCCGACTTGGACCTCGCCGGCGTGCCCTGATGCACTTGCTGGGTCTGCTGAGGCTGGCTGAAAACTTGCTGGGGAAGGAAAGTGCCCTGCGTGATAGCCTGCATCTGCTGGATCAGATGCGCTGGAGGCGGTGGCAGGACCGCGCCCGTGACGGGCGGAGGGACTCCAGGGACGCCCTGTATGCATGGCCCCGCGGCTGGCTGCACTAGTCCCAACAGCTGGCTGATGACGCTTTGCTGCATGGCGAGCTGTGCTTGTATCTGAGCCATTTGATTGCCAGGCGCTGCTGGTGGGGGTGGCGGTGGTGCCACATTGTGCGAAGATGGGCCGTCCGCTGCCTGATGGTCGAGGGCCACGTCGTCGGGCTCTTCGTCCTCGGAGTCTGGGGCATCCTCCAGTTCGGCTATGCAGACGTCGGTCTTGGCGATCTCCGCCTCGACCAGTTTTTCTTGCTGCTTGAACTCTTTGATGCTTTCCCGAATCTAGGCAAGTTTCTCCTTGTACGTAGTCTTCTTGTCCTTGAGGGCCTGGATCTGGTCCTTGCGCTTCTCGGTGAATCCCATCAGGAACTTGAGTGCCGCAACTTCTGTTAGCTCCTGGTCGCAGGGCTTGTTGGCCCGCCTGGCTGCACAGATGAGGTTGGCAACATCGTACGTGCGGCTCTTGATCTCGTCTTTGTACTGGCGCTGCGCGGCTGGGTCTGTGGGAGGCTTGCCATAAACCTGGTAGACCTTGTGCGCTTCTGCCTCGCTCTTCGGGAGAGGTAGTGTCTTGGCAATGAGCTTCTTCGCAAGGGGCTCGGGCTGGGTGGCCCACCTCGGGGTGGAAGCACCTGCTGCTTGCTGCTGTGGCGGTCGCCCCCGCGATGCAGGGCGTCGTCCCGTTTGGTTGTAGTAGCAATTGCAGCTTCGGCACGTCCAATGCCGCTCTGATACGTGTCGCCCACACGCGCACTGCCAGGTGCCAGCCATGTCTTCTGCACAGTCGGACCGGCGCCGTGGTTGTTGGGCGCTGTGGTGACGTTGGAGCAGCTCACGAGCGCTGACCGCCCTCACGAGCAGTCGCGCTTGTCCGCGGGCTCTCCTTTCACGTCGGTGCCAGGCGGGCTCTCTTGACCGAGAACCCCGCCAGCGCCGCCTCTCGGATGGCGGCGTGACCGCGGCGATGCCGCAGTGGCCGCGGCTGGGCCGCGGGTGCGCTGCGCCGCCTGCAGGCAGCGCTGCCGCGGATGTCCGCGGGCTATGGCGCGCGCGGGCCGAGGGCCACGCGTGAGGCCACGGCGGGAAGGGCTGCCCCCCAATCCCCAGGGGCGGCGCTCAGCCGATACGCCTTCGCCTCCTCCTCCTCCTCCTCCTCCTCCTCCTCCTCCTCCTCCTCCTCCCCCGCTCCTCTCCCTCGCCCTTCTTCTCCAACGCGGGTGGACGGGCGCTGGCGCAGATCTGAGACGACGACGTCGTCGTTGTCGCTTGCCGGCAGGAAGAGGGGGGGAAGGGTTTCGAACCCCCACGGGAGGGCCTGGGGAGAGGAGGCTGGATTCGAGCCCCCCCTGGAGCAAGAATGCGGCGTCGTTGTAGTCGTCGTCGTCGTCGGCGGCGGCGGCGGCGGCGGCTGCGGCGGCGGCCAGCGGCCACTTAGAAGCGCGTGGATTTGAAACCCCGCGGGAGGGCCCAGGGAGGGGAGGGAGGGGGGGAGGGGGCCCTCTGCCTTTTCCGGGGGGGGGGGGGGGGGCCCGGGTCCCGAAACCACCCCCCGCCCGCTGGTTTGGGAGGGAGGGGCGCGGTTGGAAACCTCCCCCCCCTGCCGGTGGCGCCAAAAACCGCTCTCTCCATGAGGAAAGGCGCGCGGCGGCTGGAGGCTGCAATGTTGGCGCTATCATCGCAGGCTTGAGCTCACCAGGACGGATGCGCGCGCGCGTGCTCTCGTTCGCTGACCGGACGGCCAAGCGAGGCTCCGACATGGCGCGAACGCCTTATTGGGCCGCGCGAGGTGGACGCAGCGGCAAACGCGCAGCTCGGACCCGAGCGCGGCGCGCGCAGAAACGCCGCTAACACATCAAATCCTCCGCGCAAAGCACCGACGATTGGATATTGGGAGCGCGCACAAGTGCGAGCCCGGGCGAGGAGCGCGCCGGCGGCGCTGCGAGAGTCGCTCGCGACCGCGCTGCCGCACAGGTGGAGCGGCATGTTGGCGCACGCCATCCACGACGCCCTTGCAGCGAGCCTGCTCGAGGACGTGCCCTCTGAGACGCTTGCGGCAGACGGGGAGAATCCCAGGCGAGGGGGCGTCCTGTCGGCGCTCCCCTGAGAGCGCCGGCCCCCGCGTGGGGGTGCGGGCGAGCAGGGCGGGGCGCGGCAGCTTGCCGGAACGCCAACAGCAGAGCGACTGTGACCAGCACCACAACTACCGCCACCACCACCAGAACTACGAACAGCAGCAGCACCACCACAACGACGACCGCCACCAGCAGCACCACCACCAGCACCGCCGCCACCGCGACCGCGACGACGACAAGAACCTCCACCACGACGGCGACCAGCAGCACCACTACGACCAGCAGCGCCACGACGACGGCGACCAGCAACACCACAACTACGAACACCACCGCGACGGCGACCAGCAGCACCACGACAACCACTACCAATGGCGACAACAAGCAGCACCAGCACCACCACCACCACAACCACCTCCACCACCACCACTACGGCTACGACCAGCAGCGCCACCACCACCACCACCACGGCGACCAGTACCACCACCACCACGACGGCGCCCAGGGGCTGCACGGCAACCAGCAGCACCACGACAACCACTACCACGACTGCGACAACAAGCAGCAGCAGCAGCAGCACCACCACCGCCACCACCACCACCACCACCACCACCACAACGACTCCGACCAGCAGCGCCACCACCACCAGCACGGCGACCAGCACCACCACCACCACGACGGCGACCACGGGCAGCACGGCGACCAGCAGCACCACGACAACCACTACCACGACTGCGACTACAAGCAGCAGCAGCAGCAGCAGCAGCACCACTATCACCACGACTACGACCAGCAGCGCCACCACCACCAGCACGGCGACCAGCACCACCACCACAACGGCGACCAGGGGCAGCACGGCGACCAGCAGCACCACGACAGCCACTACCACAACGGCGACAACAAGCAGCAGCAGCAGCAGCAGCAGCAGCAGCACCACCACCACCACCAATACCACTACGACCAGCAGCGCCACCACCACCAGCACGGCGACCAGTACCACCACCACCACCACCACAACAACAACCAGGGACAGCATCACGAACAGCAGCACCACGAAAACCACTACCACGACTGCCAACAAGCAGCAGCAGCACCACCACCACCACCACAACCACCACCGCCACTACGACTATGACCAGCAGCGCCACCACCACCACCAGCACGGCGACCAGCACCACCACCACCACCACCACCACGGCGACCAGGGGCAGCACGGCGACCATCAGCACCACGACAACCACTACCACGACTGCGACAACAAGCAGCAGCAGCCGCAGCAGCAGCAGCAGCACCACCACCACCACGACGACTACGACCAGCAGCGCCACCACCACCAGCACGGCGACCAGTACCACCACCACCACCACGACGGCGACCAGCGGCAACCTGGCGACCAGCAGCACCACGACAACCACTACCACGACTGCGACAACAAGCAGCAGCAGCAGCAGCACCACCACCACCACCACGCCGACGACAAGCAGCGCCACCACCACCACGCCTACAACCAGCAGCGCCACCACCAGCACGGCGACCGGCACCACCACCACCACCACGACGGCGACCAGGGGCAGCACGGCGACAATCAGCACCACGACAACCACTACCACGACTGCGACAACAAGCAGCAGCAGCAGCAGCAGCAGCAGCCGCAGCAGCAGCAGCAGCAGCAGCACCACCACCACCACCACCACCACTACGACTACGACCAGCTGCGCCGCCACCACCAGCACGGCGACCAGTACCACCACCACCACGACGGCGACCAGGGGCAGCACGACAGCCACTACCACAACGGCGACAACAAGCAGCAGCAGCCGCAGCAGCAGCACCACCACCACAACGACGACTACGACCAGCAGCGCCACCACCACCAGCACGGCGACCAGTACCACCACCACAACGGCGACCAGGGGCATCACGGCGACCGGCAGCACCACGACAACCACGACCACTACTGCGACAACAAGCAGCAGCAGCAGCACCACCACCACCAGCACCACGACTACGACCAGCAGCAGCAGCACCACCAGCACGGCGACCAGCACCATCACCACCACGACAGCGACCAGGGGCAGCCCGGCGACCAGCAGCACGACGACAACCGCTACCACGACTGCGACAACAAGCAGCAGCAGCAGCAGCACCACCACCACCACCCCCATCACAACTACCACTTCGACTACGACCAGTTGCGCCACCACCACCAGCACGGCGACAAGCACCACCACCACAACGACGGCGTCCACGGGCAGCACGGCGACCAGCAGCACCACAACAACCACTACCACAACTGCGACAACAAACAGCAGCAGCAGCAGCAGCAACAGCAGCACCACCACCACCACCACGCCTACGACCAGCAGCGCCACCACCACCAGCACGGCGACCAAGGGCAGCACCACCACCACGGCGACCAGGGGCAGCACGGCGACCAGCAGCACCACGACAACCGCTACCACGACTGCGACTACAAGCAGCAGCAGCAGCACCACCACCACCACCACCACCACCACCACCACCACCACCCCCACCACCACCCACACCACCACCACCACCACCACCACCACCACCACCACTACGACTACGACCAGCAGCGCCACCACCACCAGCACGGCGACCAGCACCACCACCACCACGACGGTGACCAGGGGTTGCACGGCGACCAGCAGAACCACGACAAGTACTACAAAAACTGCGACAACAAGCAGCAGCAGCAGCAGCAGCAGCACCACCACCACCACCACCAACACCACCACCACCACCACGACAACCACGACTACGACCAGCAGCGCCAGCACCACCAGCACGGCGACCAGCACCACCACCACGACCACGACGGCGACCAGGAGCAGCACGGCGACCAGCAGCACCACGACAACCACTACCACAACTGCGACAACAAGCAGCAGCAGCTGCAGCAGCACCACCACCACCATAACAACAACAACGACTTCGACCAGCAGCGCCACCAGCACCAGCACGGCAACCAGTACCACCACCACCACCACCACCACAACAACAACAACCAGGGACAGCACGACGACCAGCAGAACCACGACAACCACTACCACGACTGCGACAACAAGCAGCAGCACCACCACCACCACTACCACAACAACGACTACGACCAGCAGCGCCACCACCACCAGCACGGCGACCAGCACAACCACCACGACGGCGACCAGGGGAAACCCGGCGACCAGCAGCACCACGACAACCACTACCACGACTGCGACTACAAGCAGCAGCAGCACCACCACCACCACCACCACGCCGACGACCAGCAGCGCCACCACCACCAGCACGGCGACCAGCACCACCACCACGACGGCGACCAGGGGCAGCACGGCGACCAGCAGCACCACGACAACCACTACCACGACTGCGACAACAAGCAGCAGCAGCGCCACCACCACCAGCACGCCTACGACCAGCAGCGCCACCACCACCAGCACAGGATGTCCGCCTCATCGAGGCGGACATCCGGGCAGCGGGTTTCCTACCTTGGAATGTGAGTCGCCCGACGCACGTTTCGGGCACCCTC